TATAAAAAGTATAATATTAAAATATGATAATAAAAGGATAAATAAATTAGTTTTTTTTAGAAAATTATACTTAAAAAAAGGTAAAAAAAGGAATTTAAGGAAAAGTAATTATTAGAGTAAATAAAACGTTTATGGTAATAAGTAAAAGAGAGATAAATAAGATATTTTATTTTTAGAAAATTGTAGAAATAAAAAAGTATAATATTAAATTATAATTAAAAAAAAAAGGATAAATAAATCAGGATTTGTAGAAAAATATAAAAACAGAAGGTAAAAAGAGGAATTTAAGGATAAGTAATTAATTATAGTAATGGTGAAGAGAGATAAATATAATAAATTATAGTAATAATGAGGAGAGATAAATAAGATATTTTAAATATTTCTTTTTCTTCTTTTGGCAGATATTAGAGATCAAAAGAATTTAAAAAAAAAATCAAAAAATTGACAAAAAAAGATAAATGGTAATCCTGATCAAAGAGAGGTGCCACGTCAGACTTTTGTTATCCAGCTTTATATATATATATAGATTTTTTAATAGTTAGGTACTCTCTCTGTCCCTAATTATTTGTCTACTTTTAACTTGATACACATATTAATAAAACAATTATTAATATAGTAAGTTTACCATTTTACCCTTATCAATTATGATGTGGACAAATTAAAAATTAAAAATTTTCAAGTCTACCTTTTTAAAATTAATTAATTAAGGGTATAATAAATTTTTTAAAAATTATCTTTTTTTGATTTGTTAAAATGGACAAATAATTAAGAAAAAAAAAAAGGAAAAGTGGACAAGTCGACTTCCTTCATGTCAATTTATGTGATTATGTTAACTAGGCACGAAGTTTCAGATAGATTGAAACTTGTGAATCACATTTTTACTCTACTTATTGGTATTTGTAATGTTGACAAACCACGTCCTTCAATATATTGGTAGAGGAGTTGTCAAATCTGCTTGGCACATGTAGATAGATACTCACGTCTAGAGGTTGATCGCATGTTTGAGGCATTTGCCCCTTCAGCCTTTACTCACAAAAATTATTTCAAGGAGGGATCTCCCTTAATTACGAGTATAAATGATGTCTAGTGTCTACAATCAGGTTGGGTTGAGAGATCTGCCTTAACAACCTCAATGAATATCATTACCCTTCCTTAGAGCATGCAAACATTCCCAATTTACTATTTAAAAACAAATTTTACACTCAGGATCCTTCCCCACACGAATGTGGCAGCTCACGCGCATTCCCTATGTGATCTTGATAGTCATGCCCGCAATCGCGATGCACATGTGTGTGCTGCACCATCAACTGAAAAATCTGATGTTATTTGGCTTAGTTTTTGAAAATATATATATATTTCATGTCGCTCACTAATTGTTACCTTCAATATTTATTCTCAGTTCTTGTTCAGCTATTGATGTGATTACCTCCAGCCTCAGAAGAGATCTCTCCTTGTGTGAGTGCTCATTGGGGCTATTGTTTGTTGGGGAGATAGGCATACATACACTCCGCTACTACATCTTGCATACACGAGTCAATATGTGTAACGACTCTTTGTACTTAGAAAAGTATTTTTGTACTTTAACATAACTGAAGTGTAATTAGCTTCAACTTCATGAGTTATCAGCTTATAGTTTCAGTTATCAACTTATGTTTATTTTCAAACTTGATATGATTTTCATGTTTATTTGTGAAATGTACTTCCATGCTTATATGCCTTTATCACAGAAAGCCTTGCTCTGCCTATCTTCCTGTGGGATCCCACATTTAGTTTTATTAGTATGTGGGAATACCCCGTATACAGTTTTGTCTTCAATATTTGTAGAAACATTCAAGAATCAACCAACGGAAAATCCACAGCCCGGGTGACTCATAGCCTCCCTCTCGCCCAAAAAAATGCAATAGGATGAATCAAATCAATAAGCTTTTTGACTGATTCAGGGCGTTTGATTTGAATGATTTCAGGTAGATTTGATTGCACATATCTCAGATTCGCCTGGTAGATGCTTCTTGCAAGATATTCAAGATAGATGCTGAACAATAACAGTTTGTTCCTAATGAGGTTTGATGAGGCTGATACTTGTGTATAAATCCTTTAAAAAGCTAGCCAGTGTGCAACTATTTAAAGAGCTTTAGTTATTCAAATGAAGTTACAAATTGAAACAGGAGTTGGTTCATTTGCAGGTTGTGACAGTAAAATTGCAGAATAACACTGGTACATTTGTTCAAATTAGACTCTCACAAGCTCCAATAGTGATTTCATGCCTCACGTTACCATCTTTATACCTCCTTATTACATCCTTTAAAACCACGGACTTAAGAACTCAAGATGTTATTCCATATAAAACACGAAAATGCATGAAGCCAGAGCAGTCTCAAGGTGAATTGAATCGTCATAGTATTGAAAGAAAAAGTAAGGTGAAAAGTTGAACATTAGTATCCTCAAACCTTTTCTCAGCTATTAGTGAATGAATAAGGTTGTATTTCAGTCAAATGACACTCATGAAACTATATGTAGTTAATGAACCAGAGGAGATTATTCAATCCTATAAAAATCAAATAGGAAGGAAACATAAGACAGTATGTGAAAAGAGTACAAATTTCAATTGTTAACTCTGTTGCAGGCCAAATGCAAAGGAATTGGAGGATCTGAGAACGAGCCGTTAACAATCTGATCAAATATCCACTTATTAGCTGCTTCTGTGAAGTGAGTTCCATCCCAACTAACCCGAACTGATGGATCCTTGCATGAAGAAGCGATCACTATCTCTTTTCCATTCACCACTTTCTTGCTTCCACATTTTATGAATCTGTTGTAATTGTACTTCCCA